GAGCTATTATAACATTATTAACAGTTGGCTGCTCATCATTCAAGCAAGAAATTTTCCTTCATTCTTGTCACTTTGAAAAATTAATTTTTTAACTACATAAACGTGCATTTAATAACACCAAAAAGTTTGCAAATTTTAAAAAGTTTCCGACCTGTAGTAGTTTACTGTAATGCGAAAAAATCAACATTTACATCCTGAGCAACCCTTCTCTTAGCATTCAAAGGAAATTGACAACCATGCCGATGACCAATTTTCAACAATACCCTCGACTGTACTAAAAATAACTTATAACTTCTAAATTTTCAGTTATATGTCGTTAAGCGAGAATTCAAACAAGCCGGAAATAGAAATTTTTCTTGAAGGCGGAATTTACAGACAAATACAAGTTTTTGAAAATTTTTTTAATTTCATAGCTTACTCCCAACCCACCGGTTTGATTGAGAAACGTTGTAACCATAATAGCAGGAAATAAAAATTTACTGAATTCAATGGAACAAGACAAAATTAATTTAAATTAGTATTATTTTGATCGGCTAGGAAATATTTTTTGCATGTATTATTTGTGGGAATCTAATCGTAGTAATAAACATCGAACATGCGGAAGCTTTGGCCCGTAGTTGTAGTCAGTATTTTTCCATTCTTAAATACTAAAGTTAGTTGCAGCTTTTTTGGCAGGTATCCCATTCAAAATTATGTCAAAAAGCTGCACTTAACTTTAGAGTCTGTCTGTTGTCTAAAGCCTCGTTCATGTTCGAACGGATGGAACTTAAAGTTGTGCTCAACGTCACTACATCAAAATCAACGAAAAAATGTGGTGTGTCTGCTTGCTTATCGACATCAGGGGCTTTGTTGTTTTAAGCAAAATTATTGCCTTGGTCTATTCGTAAAATCTGATCTTAGTTCCTGTATATTGGTCTCGGTTCTTCTTCGTCAAACGCATGTCTAGCATTTCAAAATAATATCTCGACGTCTGTTACCACATTTCCAGCTCTGCAAGAACCAGCCTCGGTCTTGAAAGCATTTCAATGCCGCATTCCTGAATGCCAGAATCTCGGAACATTTCGCACTCACACCTTTCTGCGTCTCTTCCTTTGATACGTATTTCTCTCCAGCTGCGTGCTTATTTATATCCGGACGATGAGAAATGGTTTATTTAAGCTATACCGAAAGTTCTCAGCTGTCTGTTTCGATTGCAGCTTTTCGACGTCAAACGACCATTGCTCTGCCGTCAGGCAAGTTTTTCATTGCACAGAGGCGCGCATGAGGACCTTAGCTGCAACAAGGTTGTGACTCGGGTGGTTGTTCCGGCGGTATCCTCTTCTTGGCTACCTCAATGTATTTTACCATCCTTCTGAAACAACGTGCTGTGCTGGTCGTCTGAACTAAGTAATTGTATTATGCGTACCAAACATTTGGCCACAGATTTAACTACTATTTATCATCTCGCTTTTCGTATTTTGCCAAGATGCGTTCTCGCAAAGAGTAACTTTTCGATTTGTCAGAAGTACTATTTATCTTCGTCGTAGTCTTCGTCGCCCATTTCGGGTCCTTGCACCCAGTAGCGTGGGAGATAGAATGGGCGTGCAAGGTAGAAGCACCGCGCAGTTCTTCATCTTTCCCTTTCTCGATAGACCGTTTCTTTGGCTCACTCACGTGCCCAAATGTGGCGCTAAGTATTAGAGACTTTTAAAGCACTTTCTCAGCTGTAAAATTTATCAAAATCCGTTTGTATGGAAGTCGATGTATTGTGGAATGATTTTCCGTCATCCCTTGTGAAATTAATTTGGTTTGGAGACAACCCGGTTTCGGCGTTGTGTTATCTTCGGTGTCCTTTTTCGCAGAGAAGTCCATTGTCCAGTTGGCAAAATCACGATGACACTAGACTGTAAATGTATTCGCTTTAACAAGGCATCCAGTTTACATCCAACGGTAGTGTTAAAGAGCCACTTTTAAAGGAGGTATTCCGCATTTTTTTTTTCAGCAAAGAAATATTACACACTTCTCCTATACTCCCTCAAACCAATCGATTTCTTTAATATTTTTTAATGAATAATATTTGATGGGCGGACCGCTTTAAAGGATTCTTTCATTCCTACTCGAAAGAAGAATCAAAGCTGGATGGTATTTTTCACATAAATTTTAAATTTTGCAAAAAGTTCCGAGGTTTTTGGGAAACCAAAATTATAAAAAAAAACTATTAGTGAATCATTTCGAACTTTAATACGTCCGCTCCATTTTCCCTTAACTGCAGTTCAATGATTCGTAGCCGCACTTTTTTGACCTCGAACTCGAACTCAAACGACTACAAAATTTAACTTGTCTATTTATTCAATTGTTTTCAATTCTCTTATTATTTAATTGTCAATCGACACTTAACCTACGATATCCTCAGCTTGCGATCGGTTAAATTAACCAATTGACCCAAGGTATTAACTGAGCAGCAGCCTAAACCAAAGTAGGCGATGAGTAAGCGATGTTTCAACGTAATATGAAACCAGAAATAGAGAGACAGATGATTAAATAATAAGTAAAAATAAAAGTAAACACTCATTCTTTTAACTAAGTATGTAAGTTAAATAATAAAACCAGTTTTAAGGCAACAAATTTTAACGGACATTTCAAATACATAAACCTCTCTACTTGTGCAGCACTGATCAGCTGCTTATCTGGTTGGCTCTGCTAGTGCATGTTGCGCAAGGGAGCAACGAAAGTGCTCCGATGAGCATGGAAGAGTATGGAAAAAGCACTACCTAGAATGTTGAAAGTATGAGAATGTTGGAGCACTTTGTTGCTCAATAATACATGACGCTCCACAGCAGTGTTGCCATTTGAGCCGTTTTCCGGCTAGATTTAGCCGGTTGCGATAGCAAACAGCCTGAGAAATTTTGATTTAGCCGGCAGCCGATTTGTTAGCCGTTTTGCAGAAAAAATTAGCCGTTTTTAGTCGATTTCGCTATTTGCCTTGTTTTCTTAAATTTCAAATATGTATATATGTTTCCATTTTTGACTAAGCGACCCAAAATCTGTTAGAAATTGCTACTAGCCTAATCGTGGAGAAAATTTTCATGTCAGGCAGGATTTTATGAAATTGGGCCGATTTCGCTTATTTTTATTTTAAACGAAGAAGGGGTTTTCTTCATAAAATGTTTGTTATAAATGTCTTAATTTTAAGTGTGAAGTTTTATTCGCAAACTTAGAAAATAAGAAATTGTTTCACTGTTAAGACTCTTAAGATTGGATATAGTGCCAACAAACAGAATAAATATTACATGTAGATATTGTCTTCCCAGATAGCGCATATTCAATTCTGCCTAAATTACAAAACATCATTTTTGCCAACTCCCAAAGGTTTCAGGTAAGGGAAAAATTGATATTTTCAAGCACTGTATACACATATGTATTTTTTTAAACAAACTTTTTTGCTGAGAACTTATTTAAATTCCAAAAACCGAATGCCAACTTGAATTAAAGGAACCAACACTGAAGTGAGTCAAAATGAAAATAAAAGAGCACAAATTTCTATGTAAAGCAAAACTCTCTGGGAATCCTACGAGGCATCTGCCGGTCATATGACCGGTCATCTAAATGGGAGATCTTCAGTATTTTGGCATCATATTTTACATCAGAATTGAAGGGATTTCTGAAAAATCTGACCAGTTCTTTTGTGTAACTGTGATTTTGCATCCCTTGTCAACATATGGCCTCGGTTGATGTTAACTTAAGGTCGTTGTTTTACTGCCTTAAAATTGAAAGGACATTTTTACAGCGTTTTTTATGTGTATTGGTTTCTATTTGAGTGTATTGAGAATCGGTCAGTCTGAAAAGGCCTTGTAGGGAAGACAATAGGTTTGTTCGTCGAAAATCCAGCGAGAATTATCACTCAAAATATCAGATAGTAAGAAAAAATGCTCCCAAATTCTCTCTCATTTAGAGAAACTTGCATTTTTTTTCGGACGCAAGTTTGGAAGTTTTTCTGCCAGCCAGTGTCCACGGTTGCATTTCAAACAAAAGAAATTTGTATAGAATTTTTAAAATTCTTTCAGAGAGGCAAAAAACAGGATCTACGTGTATATATCTTGTCAGTCCGACTTTCTTCAACATACGTTTCAATTTCTTTGTCGGGTTTACTATATCGACTCTGGTTGAGATTGCATTCCGATTAAGAATACAGTTTTTTTTTGCCGAGTACATTTCAAATCATTGGAATTAACTAAATTAATTAAGTAAACAAGTATTAGCTTACATTTTTCATTTTAAAATCGCTCCAGTTTGTAAATTTTTAAATTTAACGAACTTGTTTATTCAAGTTATCGTCGACAAAAAACCCACCCATGCGCCACAATCATATGTTTTTCCTAATTGCAAACTCTTGCTGGCAAAATTTTTTCCGGCTCGAATTTGTAACTTCTCTCCAAGAAATAGTCTTTTTACTCGTGATTTATTTAAATAAAACATGTGGAATTTAGTTGAAACATTTTAGCCGTTTTTAGCCGGTTTTATTTGCCAATTAAGCCGGTTCGCCCAAAAAGTTCTGGCAACACTGCTCCACATTGCATTTTAGATGACAGTTGTGCTCTGTGTAGAACTACATACATGTATGTGTACGATTATGTATTGACTTGTTGAAGCGTTAATTTGTTGTTTTTCAGTTATGTAGGTAACAGCTCAGACGCCTAGGTACTTATCTCAAAACTAACAAGTCGATGTCTCGTACATACCTAGTTAGAACGAAGAGCGCACATGAGTAGAACAGAGTGTCAGTGAGTAGAGTAAATAGGGCCAAATAACCGACCTGTTCATTTAGGAAAACCGGCTACAAGTGTACTCTCCATGCGATTGCCATGAATAAGAGCGGGCGTGAAGGGACGGTACTTTCTGTTAAAAAAAAAAATATATATTGAGTATAAAAAATATACGGCAAATATTAAAGAAAAAAATTATCAACTCCACAGGTCGTTCAATTTCGTTTCATTTTTATACCCACAGCGAGTACTGGTGAATCAGTTTGAAAGTGAAGCGCAAACGAATCGAAAGCAACAAGTTGCTGTTGTCGCAATAGCCCCAACACCATCGCCGTCGCTTTCGTTGTTGTTTGGTTGGTAAATTAACAGTTGGTAGCTGGTGTTGTTGTTTGTTGGTTGTGTGCTTGTCAACGTAACGTTCGTGCAAACAAAAACGTAATACCATTGAGTGCTGGTTAAGTCCGTTAAAGTTTTTCTACTTTTTTTTTTTGTTTCTGTTTTTTTTTTTTGCTTCTTGCTCTGCAAATGCAGGTTAAAGTGTACACATACATAAATGCACTTTTGTCCGACACAAAGTGCGGCTTTTGCAAAATGCTGTGTCGTGGGATTGTGCATTTTTTATTGCATTTTTACAATGTCAAGAAATAGTGCAGTTGCAGTGTATTTTTCCAATCTATTTTGTAATTACAAATGAAACGTGACGTATGGCTGTGTGATGACGTTACGTACGATTAAACACAATTGTTGATGAATCACAAAAGAAAATGTGACCGCGAATTTGTGTTGCTAACAAAGGAAATGCAGTGCATTTTAGTGGAATAAAATTGAAAATAAAAATAAAAAAAAGAAATTAAGCGAAGTTAAATAAAAAAAAACATAATATAAAATAAACAAAAACTAAATTAAATCTAAAGAAAGGTTTAAAGAAAAGAAGTTGCAAAAAAAAAAAAATTGAGACTATACATACATACGTACTTATATTTTTATTGCAAATTAAAATAAATTTTAGTGCCTAAGTGAGAAGAAATAATCCGCCTAAAACTTAATATATAAATATTGTGAGGGCCAAATAGCACTAAATTTTTGCAGGAAATATTGACCAAAACCACGTGATTAGGGACAGCTCTCGCTCTATATTCGAAGAACAGAAGTGAAAAAGCGATCTTATCAGTTCTCAATCTAGAAATTGAGGTTTGACAATAAATTTGTGGCTGTGAAATAAAAAGTGTTGCTTTTTCGAAAAACTCTTTTTTTAATAAGAAACTTCGACTCACAATAATTTATACTATTTTCCTAAATGAATCTCTTTATGTTCAGGAGTCACTAAGTGAGAATATGAAATGAAAAAGTGAACCAAAGAATTTAATTTTTACAATTTCACTTCACCGAATCTTATCCCCCGTCTGGAAAAACCCCCTAATCCATTCATGTCTTTTAGTTCTTCTTCTTGTTTTTTGACCCCAGATTTTACTGTTTTCCACTTAGCTTAAGAAAAGTTGTAAGTTTTTGCCAGAATTTACCAGAACGTGTTCCCGCACTGTGTCCTCTGCCAAATGAAAGAACAACTTAGAGTGTAAATGAGGTTCTCTCTTTGTCAGAAGTTGCAAGATTTTTTGAAAACTTTTTGCTATAAAAATCTGATAAAGTCTCAAACCAACAGCTGTTCTCTGTTGCCAAATCTAGTTGAAAGATGAAGAAATAAAAATAATGCACAACTGAATTTTTAGCTTATTAAAAAGATCACAATCAAGAAATGTCAAGTTTTGTAAGTATTTTTTTTGCGTATAACTTAGCAAATCACCAAGAGTAAACAAGAAATGTAGTCAGCGATGTAGCGTTCCTGTACTTTTTGGATTTCTCTCTTTCTCTGAGAGCAATTTTGCTCTTTGACAGTATTGCCAGTTTTTTCAAGAAAAGTTGAGGAACAAAACTACATACAGGGTGGGCCAAATAGGTCCATACTTTGCCTAGCAGTGTGCGCAGTCGCTCCATCTTGTTGGAACCACAAATTAGGATTCTGCTCTGCCATTGGCCGCAAAGAGTTTTTAATCATTGTTCTGTAAGAAGCCCCAGAAATCTTTTCTGGCGTTTCATTCTCATTCTCGAAGAAATATGGCCCGATAACTTTTTCCGCCATAATACCGCACCAAAGAGTGCACCTCAAAAATAAACTCGTGTGGCTAATTGTATCAAAGGAATAGCGTATTGTAGTCGTTGTTGGTGGTATGTATTATGATTTTCCAAGAGGATTAAATTTCGCGGTTTGTTAGGCTAAGCCGGCTAGTCACCTAGCAGCTTCTCAGAGACTATTCATTGCGTTACTGGCAAACTACGACCAGATAGCTTAGCTAATCTCTGGGAATAGGAGCTAAGTTGCAGACGAAAAACATTGCAGTTTAACTGACAAACCGAAACAACTGTTTGTCCACAGAATCACAGCCCACCAAGAAATGGAATTTCACAGAAGATGTGCTCACCGAGTCAGCCATCCGCTGACCTCACGCCAACCTTCGACCTCCAAAATTATTGCCGAATGTAGGTGTCACCGAAATATATAAAAAAAAAGCCGGCCCCTTCTTTCGGCCAAAAATAAAATTTTTTCGTAATTACGAACTTTTTTTATTCACTTGGTCTAATGTTCAATGTGCATACATATGTCTTAAAATAATGTGTCGCCTGATGAAAACTCTTTCGAAGACATTTTTACTGAAAGCGAAAATATCTACAAGTTTTTTTCAACACATCCTGTTCAATAGCCATACTCTTATGCTGGGCATTCTTCTTATGCTGCAAAGTGAAATTTGTAAATGCCAACGATTAAAAATCCCTAATGGGGTTTTTTGTAATTAATTTTATTATTAAAATAAAGAAAATATAGTAATTACATATTTCATCATGTTTGCATAATTTCTTCACCTGCGTATAGCTGCACCCTAAATAAAAAAATAGAATTTTTCATTGTGTTCTTAAAAAGTGTTTAAAGCTAGAATGTAAAAAAAATATATATTTGTTAACAAAAGTCTTAATATTCTCCTCTCATTTTAGCAACGTTTGTGCAAAAAAACTAACTAAAATTAAACGAACTAAGTATTCAACTAACGACGGAAATTTGTGTTCAAACTGTTTCCGAAAAAAAAAACAAATTTTCGAAAGTATTATTACTGCGAACTGCATTTCGAATACGTTTAAGCCTACCAAAGACAAATTACGCCAAACTCTTGTCAATAATTTACGTAAAATAATACCACAAAAAACTTAAATAGATATACAACACATGAAATATGCCTTCACCTACAAAATCGTTAAATCAACGTGATCGTATACGCGATCCGCGCGAAGAAATCCTACTCGAAACAAATTTCGAAGATGATGGCATACTGACGCGTGCCTACAACAACAATCCATACAATAATGGCTCAGCAATACATAATCGACGACGCAGTACCTACCGTTCAGATCACTCCTTGGACCGTTACACGGAACGTGGTGGCGAAGAAGGTAAATGCAAAAAAAAATGCATTTCGTATACTCACTCGTACTTAAAAACACTAACTAGATTTTGATGCAACGTATTGAAGTAACGCACACTACATACTGCTTAAGGCTCAAATGCATTTTGTTAAATGTATATTTTTTCTTTTTTTTTTTTTTTAGTTGTGTAATACAAAAATCGCGAAGTTACTTTGTAATCTGGCACCTTAGTATTAAATGCAAAATATTATGTGCTAATATTTTACGCTTTGCAACGTCACACTTCTGCTTTTTATGATTTTTATTGTTGTTGTTATGCTTTCGACCTTCTGTTGACCCACTTGATCACTGCTTGTCTGATGGTGATCAAAGTTTGCGCTGTCGATGTGAGTATTTAATGGTGAACTACTTTTCTTTTTGTGTTACAATTTAACGCTTGTCGCTGCAGTTAATAGGTTAATTAGGCTTTTGTCCTATAAATGATAGTTAAAAAAAAATACATGAATAAATACACATATATATTGTACATTAGGCATATGACTTTTTTCTAAAATTAAATACATACACTCACGGCAAAAAATATTGGCACAGAGAATTTTTCACAATATATGCAAGAATTTTTATAGAGGAGAAAAACCAAAAAATAAGGTTTTTGTAAAAATTTGGAAAAATTGTGCATTTCCAATCTGACATGGCATTTGTATGACAAAATGAAAACGTCAAAAATTTAGAGCGGTTTTTCTATATTTGCATAGTAATTAAGTAAAAAAATTAAAAACAATTGGCAGTAGAGATTTTAAGTATAAGCACATATACATCGATGGCTGAGTGGGAGATCGTCCTATCTCGGCAGCTAGTTCAAAAAAGCCCTATCTCAGAAAACTTTTCAAGAACCCTACTACTACTACTTCCGAATTTGATTGAAAAACGCCCAATTTCAGAATTTTGTTGAAAAACACCCTATCTCAGAATTCGGTTCAAAAACGCCCCATCTCAAACGAAAATACATGGAAAAAAAGCTGAGGTAGGGCGATTTTGAATCGGCAGCTGAGATAGGGCATTCTCCAACCAAATTCTGATATAGGGCGCTTTTCGGTGATATTCTGAAGTAGGACGTTCATGAAAAGTTTTCTGAGATAGAGCGTTGTTGAGAATTTTCTGAGATAGGGCGCTTTCGAACTGGCTGTCAAGTTAGGTCGATCTTTCACTCAGCCATCGATATGAACACATTTTTTTTCTCGGAGTTCCCTCCGGAAACTTTTTGTTACAAAATTGTAATTTTTGTTGGTTTTTCATCACTGCTCAGAAGTATATTTAGTTTTAGAAAAGAGTCATGTGCCTAATGTATGTACATACATATGTATTCACAAAGCATATGCTACTGTTTTAAGTGCATTATTTTTATTAGTTCCCCAAGCGTAACATAAAAACCATAGCTGTTAACTTTCCAAAGTTCTAGTTTTCTTCATTTATTTTTTCTGCTTACATTTTGCATTGCAATTTTTCCACCTTATTGCTCTCGTTCTTTGTGCCCATATTGTCTATTTTCCTTTTAATTTCTTTGTTTACTCCATTCTTTGCTTTTTCAAATATTTTTCTCCCTCTCAGTAGTCATCTACCAACTCAAAACTCATTTACGTTAGACCTAAATACTCATCGTCCCATATCTTATCATCGCATTAGTTATCGCTTGCTACACAATCTCAAACGAACTCAGTATATTTCGTCATCTGTGTTTACTCCCCAAAAGTAAAATTATTGTTTGTAGCTACAAGTGTTCCCAGTGGGAAAACGGCTAAAGCGTTATCTTCATCAAACAGAAAGCGATTAGTTTTTCCTACAGAACGTAAACATACACCCAAAAGTAAGCGGAAAGGTAATATGTACGATTAGCGTGTGATAAGTTCGCCGCCAAAGGACTTAATGAATGAGAAGTATGGCTTTATATTTATTGAATTTTTCAATCTAACGGCTTTAAGTGGAATGCAATCTTTGCATTGTGAATATAAATATCTATGCCACTGAAAAAATACTCTTTAAATTGCTTATCAAAATAGTTTTCAACGGCCGCCTTCATCCCACTGTTGTCCGAAAATATTCGCCCCCGTAACTTCTCTTTTAAATTGGTTGTTGTTGGTATGGTTTTGTTGTTTGTCCATGCGGTAGCTGTTAATGAACCAAAGAAGAAAGGTGGTTTAAGAAAAATGGAAATCTATTTTTGAAGGCAGTTAGATCGGTGCCCGGTGCTTCCCACTTAGCACTTAGATCAATCGATGCAAATCCGCGAGCCAGTCATCAAGTTACGAAGGCATCTAATTTAAATCCCCGAGAGTTCCTTAGGGTTGCTTGTGAAGAGCGTATCAAGATACTTTAACCTTGTAAAAGCTGGATAACCTGAAAGAAAGTGTCAAGTTGATTGACCTAATCGTCCTCTAGGCAACTGCAGCAGTAAGAATCAGATAGGATTTTTAATTTAATAACCTGTTTAATTTAATGTTGATGTTGCCAACTACGGTACTTGATCAAATTAGGCTCTAGTGTATTTTGTATCTAACTGTAAAAGTGTTTGAATACTCTGGAATTCTTGGAAGCTTATACTACTCCACTTACAAAACAAAAGGGAAGAGTAGGTGACTGAAACAGGACCAGTGAATTTGTTCTTAGTTGCGTGAAAACGTAACGAAAAGGGTTATTGACGACGTCGTCTGTTGGGAACTCTCCTTACTATTTTAGTGTGTGTTCAGGCACAAGTTATGGAAAATTGTATGTTGTTAATTCCCGTGATAACTCCATATTACCGAGTTAATCCGGATCAAAGATGCCGTCTGTCTATGATTTTACTTTAATTTACTGGTCGCTGTCGTGAAATTCCGAAAAGCACCTTAGTTTTTTTGTTAAATTATTGGACGTTATTTAATTTTCAGTAAGGCGATGTTGATAGTGGGTGAGATGCTAATTTCTCTGCTCTTTTCCGGTCGCAATATTACGACCGACAAAGAAATTTTGATTTGTATCTTACTGCTTCTTCTGTATACGCTTTATTCCTTAATCAGGCTCAATGAAGTTAGGGCTCTCACTGGGTTCGTACAGCTAATCGAAGGATAATCAGTTGGAGTAATCACAATCGCGGTTGACACGATCATAAGTATAAGCTATGTAGTTGAATTATTTTATACTTTTATGTATGCTACCCTCTGTTCTCATTGGGGTTTGTTCCTAAATACTATAAAGATGCACATAAACAAACATACATACATACGTTGATTGTAAGTTTCTTGTAAAATTGGCTTCAGCGTGCTTTGTATTAGATGTGTGTTCGAACGGCTCAAATATTCTTGTTGTACTCGTATGTTTGTACTTGAATGTACATTGAGTTGCTTACTCAATGTTCCCTAGCTTGCTAAAATGAATCAAACTACTTATTGGATAGATGCATTGGACGTTCAAGCTATTCGACTTGGGCAACAGCACAACTGCTTCAATAAAGCCGCGTGTATGAACACGCCGTAATATACATAATTTATTTTGCTGTAATAATTATTTCATTTGCACTGTGAGAAAAAATTATTCAATGGATTTCATTCGTTGACTCATTGAATGTACGTATTATCAAGATAAGTTTATGTTAATTTCTATGTAAATATTAGTTAACGGAAGTAGACAGGGAAATTGTTTTGCACATGAAATAAAAAGTAGATAACAATTTTTTCTCTTGTGATTAATCTTAAAAATGTTACTAATCAGTATTGGACACTAACTATGTTTATACTGAATGACTTTGGAAACAGAAATATTTACGACTACGGAATGTATGTCTGGCAGCAGATGCGCTCAATATGTACTGAGTTTTTAATTTTTATGGATGTATAGGTAGATAGATTTCATGGAGGATGTGCACTGCGACCTTGGGTCTATTGTGGCCTCAAAGATCATCACAAAACCTCGTTCAGGCCTAGGGCACTAATGAAACCAAGCAGAGAGTGAGTGTACGTACAACCCTTCAGGTATGTTAGCATTTTTCTCGCAACCGCATTGCACCCTAAAAGTAGATGTAATGGGATTTCTGCTGTCATATCGCAGTAACGACAGAACTCGTCTGCACTAATCCCCAGGGTGTTCGTATGGGTCCACAGCCTACAATGGCTCGTTAGCAGACCAATAATAAACCACAGGTTTGTCTTTTAGACGGTGATTAGTTTCCTCGATCTCTTGTGGTTGTAACTTCTCAAAAGTTCTTTCGCCGGCCTTAGTCCGGTGTATTTTCCCAATATGCTTTTCTGAGCTGACGTTCTTCTGCTTTTAACTCTTCCCTGGTGGGGTGAGGTCCCACTGCAAGGGAGGGTTTTGGTCCTATAGATCGAGTAGCTGCTGCCTCTCATGTAAGTCTGTGAGCCTCTTCGTTGCCCTATATGACTCTGTGGTCCGGGTCCCACAGGAGATGTAGGATGATTCCCCAAGTGAATGGAGATCTTGGCCTTGGGGACTTATATTCCGGCCCTATGCCTTCGTCAACCCCTCAAGTAGCCCACTGGTGTATAACTTGGTGTAAATTTGTGAATTTTGGTACAATTAATCAGATTTATACTAAAATTCGTAATTTACACCAATTTGTACACCAGCTGGCGGCCGCTGTCGTGTAGTGATTAGCAGTGCGCGCCTCGGCAGGCAATGGCAAACCTCCGAGTGTATTTCCGCCAAGAAGCGTGTAACTGTAGGTCCCTCCCCATTGTGTGACAACATCAAGGCGCACGCCAAAAAGCGGAGGAGAACTGTACCGTTCGCCTGATTTTCATAGATGGGATGTTAATTTAAAGCGCTTGGTCTGTCGATGTGCAAACTGGTTTTAGTTTTTCTAAAAGAATTGCCACCTGTTGAACAATTAAACTCAAATTATTTAATAATCAATGCCATCATGTCCGCACCGGTCGTTCGATCTTCCGAAATGAGGTGTCAAATTACTTTTTGGGAAAGAGTTGCCACCTTTCAAAAAATTTGTTTCTTAGCTGAAATATAGGAGGGTTGCCACC